AACTGGCTGAGATGAAATCTCTCAGGCTGTTGCCTCCTAAGCATTTCGGTGCTAGCACCCTCTCACCTCGGGGCCTCTGCACCTGCTGCTCCAGCCTGGATCCCCTGTCTTCCAGATGGTCTCATGGCTCATTCCCTTCCTTTATCTATTTGCCTCCTTAAAGGATCCTTCTCAAAGCTCCCATCCTGGTGTTTTCCCTAACTGGGGCATACCTCTGCCTGCCAGCAGCCACTGCCACCTGCCATCCAAGGGTCTGTTTGTTTGTTTATTATCTGTCTGTCCACTGGAACGTCAGCTCCCTGAGGGTAGCAGGCACATTGTTTTATTCTCTCCTGTGTCCTCAGCACCTTGAACAGTGCCTGGCATAGAGTAGAAGTTAGTAACTATTTATGGAATGAATGGATGCCTAATCAATATTGATTTCTTAGTTTGCACTTTCTGTCGGAGTGAAGAGAAGGGACTCTGCGGGCTCATCCAGTGCTATGTAGGGTAACTAACTTGTCCTAGTTTGCCAAGACTTTCCCAGTCTTAGCATTGAAAGTCCCATGTCCTGCGAGCTCCTCAGTCCCCAGGAAACTAAAGGTCAGTCACCTTAGGGCTATGATTTTATGAGCGCTGTCATCCATGCTGTTAATGATAGCAGCTCACCCTTACTGGGTGCCAGATGTTGCTCTAAGCGTGTCATATGAACGACTTTCTTGAATCATCATAGTGGTCCCATTTAACAGGTGTGAAAACTGAGGCACAAAGAGTGTGGCAGTGGGTAGAGGCAGGTTTTGAATCCATGCAATTCACCTCCCCAGTCCAGGCAGTTTGCTCCACTGCCAACCAGCCTCTTGATCAGACAGGAAAGCCCTCCCAGTACCCAAAGCTCTAAAGTCTGTGTTCCACCCCTGCCGGCCACAGAAAGCTGGCCCCAGAAGGGCCACTCTGTCGGCTCAGAGTCCCTGAGTCCACCGCAGCTGCCACTGAGATGCCCATGAGGTCATACTTATTTTGTTTTCATCACACTAGCTCCAAATGAAGTTGGAAAAAAGAAAAAAGTCTGTGTATAACTAACTAACTAAAGTGGGCAAAGGAACAGAAAGTGACAAGAGACATAAATAACCCTGTAAAATGGGGAACTTGGTGAGCCAAAGAGAAGATCAAATATTGGCTCTAAGATCAAATGTTGGCTGTAAGTGCCAGGGACACGTTTACAAACTGAGAATGAGCCTGCCCCCCGCCTCGCCCAGGACGGCTCCCGTGCTCCCCTCAGAATGGGAGTATGGCAGGGTGCCTGCCCAGGAGCTCACCTGGCCCACAGGGTGGGCTGTCCCCCGGAGGGAACAGCTGCCCAGGGCTGGAAACCAGGGGAAGGGATGGAGAGGGAAGGATGGCCCTACATGTGCTTTAATCAGAGACACATCTTCTTCACCATGTTCCTTTTTATACGTGTTGAAGTCTGAGCTATGTGAGCCTGCTTGAAAAATAAATTCAGAATTAAATAAGAAAAACATCTCTAGGCACCTTCCTGACCTTCCCACACAAAGGAAGTAATCTTGTCCTCCTTCAAATTTCCAAGTCCTTGGACTTTTTATTGTGGGTGTTTACTAATTATTTCCACCGGTACACACCCACAAGGATGGCTGGAATGAAAAGGACTGACTGTACTAGGTGCTGATGAAGATGGGGCTACGAGGGCTCTCATACGGTGCAGGCTGGGTGTAAAATGGTACAGCTGCTTTGGAAGATAGTTGGGAAGTTTCTTAAGAAGTTAAACAGGCCGGGCAAGGTGGCTCACACCTGTAATTCCAGCACTTTGGGAGGCTGAGGCGGGCAGATCACCTGAGGTCAGGAGTTTAAGTCCAGCCTGGCCAACAAAGCGAAACCCTGTCTCTACAAAAATACAAAAATTAGCTGGACACGGTGGCGCATGCCTGTAATTCCAGCTACTTGGGAGGCTGAGGCGGGAGAATCGCTTGAACCCGGGAGGCGGAGGGTGCAGTGAGCCGAGATTGCGCCATTACACTCCAGCCTGGGTGACAGAGTGAGACTCTGTCTCAAAAACAAAACAACAAAAAAGTGAAACATACCCTTGACCTGTGACCCAGCCATTCCACTCCTGGTACACCCCATAGAAATGTGTACATGTGTTCACCAAAAGTCACATCCTGGAAAATTCGTAACAGGATTCTTTGTCACAGCCATAATCCTGAGAATTACCCACAGATCTGTTAGCAGGTGAACAGGACAAACGTGGTAGACTCACATAGCGTGACCTAGCAGAGCGATGACAGCCAGTGTCTGTTGCACAAGATGTGGATGCAGCTCATCAGCACGATCTTCAGCCAGACAGGAAAGTGTATGATCCCATAGGATCCCATTCGCATTGAATTTAGAAACAGCAAGCGGCCCCGTAGCATTAGGGCTCAGGATGGCGGTGCAGTGGAATTGCTATAGGACCTGGAAGGTGGCCTGCAGAGGGCATTTGGGGAATTAAGAAGGGGCTGATTTTTCATCTGGGTGCTGGTTACATAAGTGTGTTCACTCGTGAAAATTCCTTGAGCTGTGCACATACAATTTTTCTGTATATGTTCTGTTTCAATAAAATGTTTGTTCAGACTGGATGTGGTGCCTGGCGTCTGTAATCCCAGCTGCTTGGGAGGCTGAGGTGGGAGGAGGATGGGTCAAACCCAGGAGTTTGAGGCTGGAGCGAGCTGTGATCACACTACCACACTTCAGCCTGGGTGACAGAATGAGACCCTGTCTTCCCCAGGAAACTTTTTAAAAAGACAATGCAAAATGAGAGACACAGAGCACCGTGGTGGCCCAGTGCTGCCTGTGACTTGGTTTGGGGGCGATGTCTTCCTTCCTCCTCTCATTTACAGACAGCACATCTGCGCCGTCTTCAGGCTCTGGGTGAGAGATTCTGTATCTCCATGCAAAATCCGGCAGCAATTCTACCACAAGCAGGTGAGCGTGACAGGCCCGCAGGGCTGCGTGCCCTTCCGGGGGCTCAGATGTCCCGACCTTGGACAGTGGCACTGGTTTGGCTGCCCCACTCGAGCTTGCCTGCCTGTGAGGTCGCCCCATGGCCCCGGTAATGACATCCCAGTGTGAAGTCACAGGCTGCTTCCTCTGCCCCCATCCAGCGGTGGCCAGCCCTAGAGTCAAGGACAAAGCCATTTTTAGAAGAGTGACTGAGACACATTTGGACGGCTTTTCCAGGTCTGCCAGGACCTGCAGCATACCTCAGGGCCAAACTGGAAGGTATTTGCGGTCCATAAAATTGACACGAGGCATCTTATTACCAATGTTATTCTTGGATGGAAATTACATTTCAGAGACACTGGAGACCCAGGTATCGAATCCCTGGTCCATGGACCTTCCCCCAGCTAGTGTGCAATAAGCATGCTGCAGGATCATTATTTGGATGGTGAACAGGGCCAGGGATTCCCAGGGGGCTCGCAAATGAGCTCAAAGAGATGCTTTGTGGGGTTTGCCATGGCTTGGGTGTGAGGAGCCACCTGTGAGTCTTGGTTGGAATGGTCTGTCTGAGCTCACATCCGAAGAATGCACAGAATTTTCCAGGTGACGCAGGACAGAACAGGCACCCCTAACAGAGAATGGCATGTGCAAAGGCCCTGCAGCAGGAGCATGCAGGAAAGAAGGCAAGGTTGGCTGGGCCCAGAAAGGGACAGGAGTGTGGAGAGGCGGGTAGGGACCAGACCCTACAGGGCCTTGCAGCCACATTGAAGAGTTTTGCTTTATTTTAAAGCCAACAGGAAATCATCAAAAGGGGTTAAGGGAGACTGGAGCTGGGGGTGGGAGGGCATTAACTTTATTAAACCCACTTTTGGAAGGATCACTCTGCCTAAGTTTCTTTAAAGCCACCCTGGGCTGGCGGAAAGAAAGATGTATGGGACATGGCCTGTCCTGCAAGGAGTTTACAGTCGAGATGGAGACATGGAAATAAACTGTCTGGAGAAACACGTGATGAGGCAAATGAATGACCTAGAATAGCACCGTCCACAGGAAATAAAATCTAGACCAGCACCCTCCTCTAGAAATAAAATCTAGACCAGCACCCTCCTCTGGAAATAAAATCTAGACCAGCACCCTCCCCTGGAAATAAAATCTAGACCAGCACCCTCCTCTGGAAATAAAATCTAGACCAGCACCCTCCTCTGGAAATAAAATCTAGACCAGCACCCTCCTCTGGAAATAAAATCTAGACCAGCACCGTCCACTGGAAATAAAATCTAGACCAGCACCGTCCACTGGAAATAAAATCTAGACCAGCACCGTCCACTGGAAATAAAATCTAGACCAGCACCGTCCACTGGAAATAAAATCTAGACCAGCACCGTCCACTGGAAATAAAATCTAGACCAGCACAGTCCACTGGAAATAAAATCTAGACCAGCACCATCCTCTGGAAATAAAATCTAGACCAGCACCTTCCTCTGGAAATAAAATCTAGACCAGCACCATCCTCTGGAAATAAAATCTAGACCAGCACCTTCCTCTGGAAATAAAATCTAGACCAGCACCTTCCTCTGGAAATAAAATCTAGACCAGCACCTTCCTCTGGAACTAAAATCTAGACCAGCACCTTCCTCTGGAACTAAAATCTAGACCAGCACCTTCCTCTGGAACTAAAATCTAGACCAGCACCTTCCTCTGGAACTAAAATCTAGACCAGCACCTTCCTCTGGAAATAAAATCTAGACCAGCACCTTCCTCTGGAAATAAAATCTAGGCCAGCACCATCCTCTGGAAATAAAATCTAGACCAGCACCGTCCACTGGAAATAAAATCTAGACCTGCACCGTCCACTAGAAATAAAATGTGAGCCACAAATGCAAGCTACAGATATAATTTTAAATTTCCTAGTAGCCACATGTTTTAAAAAGAAATATTTTCTGTACTGGCATTCTTCTGAAGACAGAGTGGCTCTAATCACTAGGAGAAGCTCTACCCCACCAAGAAAAAAAAAAAACCAGAAACAGGTAAAATTAATTTTAACAAATATTTTATTTAACCCAATGTATTTAACACGTTTTCAACATGTAATCAGTGTAGAATGTTATTTATGAGCTTGTTTCACAATCTCTCCGTATTTTACGTCTTTGAAATCCAGGGTGTCTTTGATGCTTCCGGCACATCTCAACCTGGACTAGTGAAAACTAGCCCCGTTTTTCACGCACAGCAGCCTTGGGAGTTTAGAGGCTGTCAAATTGGACGACCTGGGTCTCGGCGATGGATGCTAGAGGCTGTGGCTTGAGCTGAGACTTTTAGGCAGGAAGGGCGTGAAGAAGGCAGAAAAGATGGGAGTGGGATAGAGAAAAATCCAAAGTCAAGTAACACACGCCAAGCGGTCACATACAAGAGCGTTCACGACTCCGTGGTGGGTGACGACCAGAAGTGAGAAACACCTGTGGATGATGGACAGAGGCCTGAGCGTCTGGTGTGGTGGGTCAGTCCAAAGGAACAGTAACCCTCCCACCCACGAGGATGGCCAGAATGAAAAAAGCAGAGAATAACCAGTGCTGGCGAGGAGGCGGAGACATCGAGGCCCACATACATTGCCCCTGGGAGTGGAGGATGGTGCAGCTGCTGCAGAAAACAGCCCGGAGGTTCCTCAATCAGTTAAACGTGGAACTACCCTAGGACCCAGAAATTCCACTTGGGTCTCTCTCCGGAAGAATGGCAAACAGGTTCTAACCAGAATGTGTGCACGAATGTTCACAGTGGCACTATTCACAGTAGCCAAAAGGTGGAGACCACCGAAATGTCCTTCCCCAGATGAACAGGCAGACAAAATGTGGTGCACGCTTGCGTGTGTGCATGTGTGAGTGTGCACTGGAATATGATTCAGCCATAAAGAGGAATGAGTTCCAATCCACGATACCACGTGGATGAACCTTGAAAATATGACCTAAAGTGAACGAAGCCAGACACACAAGGCTGCATGGTGTGTAATTCCATTTATACCAAATATCCAAAATGTGGCTACAGCCAGAATGCCGATAGATCCATAGAGACAGAAAGCAGATGGAGGTTTGCCAGAGGCTGGGGGAAGGGAAGGAATGAGGAGTAATTACTTAATGGGTAGGGGGTTTCCTTTGGGGGTGATGAGAACATTCTGGAACTAGATAGAGGTGACTGCACCACTGTGATTGTCCCCAATGCCCCTAATGGAAAAGTGTATTTATGTCTATCTTGCCACAATAGAAATAAATTTTCCAAAAGCTAAAAAAAAGGAATTCTAGAGCTACCTCTCAGTCAACGTGGACATATTTCACAAAACAGCATTGAGAGGAAAAAGTACAACATTGAGAGGAAAAAGCAAGTCGCAAAAGAATACGGTAGCAGGTGTTTCTGCCACCACACCCCACACCTCCTCAGCCCACCCGAGCCCCTGGTTCCTACACACAGCGGCTGCTTTCCACTCCAGGCACCTGTGTCGCCCTCCCTGAAGAATTCCTCTGCCCACACCAGCAGTTCTTGACCAACAAGACGGACGGGAGGTATCAGAACAGTGAAGCACGCAGGAGCGGCCATAGACTCCAGCTTCCCTGGCCCCGGGTGGGGACAAGGCTGAGTTGTGTGCACCACTCTCTGAGCCCCAAGGGCCAGCCCCCTGCCCGCAGCCGCTTCACCAGCTCCCCTTCGTTGCCTCTTCTCCCTTCTGTTCCCCGCCTCACTGGGCTCCCAGGCTCACCTCCCACAGAGACTCTGCACCAAACCCTCTCCAGATCCGCTTTGGGAGAAGACAAACACAGACAGACCCGCGTGACATCAAACCACAGAGGCCAGGCTTGAAATCGTGCACCACAGCAGACGCACTGCATGGGTGGTGACAGGCTCAAGACACTCGCGGGAGTGACAACACCAAATCCGGGGTGGTGGCCGCTGCCACCCCTGCTGCATGGGGGTGGGCTGGGATAGGCTAGGGATGCCCCCTGTGAAGGGCACCCCAGGGGTCGCACATGTTGTGGAATCATTTACCTTGTAGGCACGGGTGGCAGGTCCCTGGGGGTGGTGATGCATGTATTTCTTGAATGCCTGAAATATTTCATCATCATCACGAAGCAAAGCATGAGGTAGGTGTGTTTGGCAGCCAAGGCGTTGAGAGGGATGGGGCATTTCGAAGTGGAGGATAGGGTGAGCCTATCCCTAGGAGTGGAGGATAGGACTCCTGCCCAGGCGAAGTGGGGTGGCACTGGGTGTCCTACGGTGGGGAGGCCGAGAGACAGGGCTCTTTGTGTCACTCTGCCTGGGAGCCACGGGTCCAAGGCTGTGAGGGGCTCCCAAGGCAGGGAGGCCACCATCACAGCTGCAGTCAGATGGCACCATGGTGGGGGTGGTGCAGAATCAAAAGAGAAAAAGGTGTGTGAACACGCTTCAAAGGCGGGTCCTGAGACCTCTGGGCTTAATTGGAAGTTGGTGCCAAAAGTGAGTGAGGCATTGGAAGTTTCAAGTCTGGGTGACGAGGTGAACGGGAGGACCCTTGGCAGGCATCTGGACACCCAGAGGGTTTAATTTATTTTCATCTGTCAGGGCAGGGAGCTGGCATGGGTTTGTGCAGGCTCACACGCTATTTGTCCTGATTTTGGAGACAGGCTGAGACCGGGAGCCCTCTGACCTCATCATGTTGGATTTCCAGGTAATCATGTAGCCCCTACATGGTCCCCCGCTTAGCTCAGAGCCCCATTCAGCCCTCCCAGCCCTGGCCACGTCACCTATGGAACCCCGGAATGCATTTCTGAGAGGCAGGCTCTGGCTGGGGTCTTACCCCACCTTTCTCAAGCCATTTCTGTCCTGGGGTCCATGCACTCACAGTTCTTAGGGAGATCTTAGCGGGGTTCTGTGTCCCCTCTGACAGAGCCTGAATGCCCCCAATTCTTCACCCCCTTTTTCTAGCCGCACATGCTATGTAACTTACTTTTTCCAGGTTTAATGGGCTTTATTTAACTTTGATGGATTTTGATGATTGTATACAGTCATGTAACGGCCACCACAGATGAGATCGAGAGCACTTAGAAGGCCCCCAAAAGTTCCCTGTGCCCCTTGGCAATCAAATCTCACCCTGACCGCCAGCTCCAGGCAATCACAAACCTTTCTGTTGCTATCACTCTGCCTTGTGTAGCATTTTCTATAAATGTCTCCTCTTGAGTTTAGCTCCTTTCCCTTCCATAACGCTTTTACACTCATTCATGTTCTGTGTGCATCGGTAATTCACTCTTTTTCGTTGCTGAGCAGGATTCTGTAGGGTGGATAGACTGCAATGTGCTTATGCACTCACCCGTTGGTGGACATCTGAGTTGTTTTTGTTGGGGTGATTGTGAAAAGACAGCCCAGTGCTATAGACATTTGCATACTGGTCTTTGTGCAGACATAACTCGTTTCTCTGGGGTGAACACTGAGGAGAGCAATTGGTGGGTCGCATGGTCAGTTTATGTTTGACTATAAGTTCTGCCAGACTATGTTCCAAAGCTCTATCATTTTGCATTCCTGTCAGCAGTGTATGCAAGTTCCACTTGCTCCACATCCTTGCTAACACTTGCTATTGTCAGTCTTTTTAAACTTAGTCGTTTCAGGGGGTGTGCAATGATAACTCCCTGCAGTTCTGATTCCTGCGTCAACTTTGCAGCACCCTCCATGCTGGCGCTGGTCTCAGTCATATGACTGGATTTGACTAACAGAATGAGGCAGAAGTGGCTGGGTCAGTTCCATGTCTGAGTCTCAAGAGGCCTTGCATGTTTCTGCTTGGTCTCTTGCCCTCTGCCACACTCTTGAGAATGTCTGTGGGCTGGCCTGCTGGAGGGTAAGGGACACATGGAGGAGTGTTGAGTGGCCCCAGTTGTCCCAGCAAGACCAACCTAGATCAGCCAATGGTCAGTCTTTCTATATCTTTCATGACCTTGATGCTTTTGAAGAATACTGGCCAATTATGTAGAAAGTCCCTCAATTCGATTATGTCAGATGTTTTTTCATGGTTACATTGAGGTTATGCAAGAATGCCACGGAGGCGATGTCGTGTCCTCAATCCATCTTACCAGGGGTGATGTCAACCTTATCACCTTTCACTGGAGACATTGACCTTTGTTAAGGTGGCATCTTCCAGGTTTCTCTCTGTATGTAATAAGTATCTTACAGGGAGATACTTGAGAACTTTCAAATATCCCCTTTCTCTTCATATTTTTACTTGATGGTTTTAGCATGCATCAATGATTCTTGCCTGCAGCAATTAAGACTGTCAGATTTGCTTAATGATGACTTTCTATTTCATCATCTCTCCTACACTCATTCATTAGAACTCTACCATAAGGAAGAGCTGTGTGTTCTCCCCATCCTATCTATTAGATCAATCATTTATTTATAGCAGTATGGACTCATGGATATTTATTTCATTCTCTGGGAAATACCCCTTACTATCATTATTTGTTTTTCTTGGCTTGAATATTCTCAGATTTGGGCTTTGGGTACTTCTTGTAGTTTTCCGCAATGCCCTTTTGATGTGATGCTATCATTATTTTTGGTACATCCTTACTTTCCAACAGTATGGACTCATCTTTGTTTTCCCCATCCCAGTCCTGAAACTAGCCCTTTCTCCAAATGTTCACTGGTTCCTTGGTTGGAGAATGGTGCATAGGAACCAAGATCTGAGTGCAAGGGTGCTCTTCACTGTTGGGATGTCATTGCTTCTGGGTGTGTTGGAGTCATGCATGCACATATTTGCATTTATACATCTATCCATCTGTGTGTGTATACGTGTGTGTGTATGTGTTACCATGAGTTAATACCAATTACTCTGATTTCAAACCAACACAATGGGATTTTTCTAGTTATTTTTAATTTCTTTCAAAATCACTTTGGTTCTTCTAGAAAATGAGCTCTTCACCTAGCTTAAGAACGTAGAGATGTCATGTATGGTTGGGCAGGTTGTTCGCTGTCCAAGGGTGTTCCAGCTCAGGAGAGCGATGGGAGCCGAATGCATCCATGCTCTACTCCTTAAACTCTGCACTCTAACATGTGCTCTGGGTCCACCAGAGGAAGGGATGCCCTCCTTTCACTTGTGCAAAGGCACTGGGTGAGCTAGCAGCAGCCCTGGTCAACTGCTGTCTCAGGATATTTTTGTGTTTACTTGTGAAACACCCTGGCTTGGGCTGGATTCCCCGAGAGGCAGATTGTGAGCTGAGGATTTGAGGGCGAGGAGTATTTTGGGACATGATTCCAGGAAACTCCCAGAGAGAAGCAGTGGGAGTGAGGCAGGAAAGAAAGCATGCATCAGGGAGCTGGTTACTACTGGGCCGCCGAGGCTCCATCTCAGTAAGGAACCCTGGAAGACAGGGAGGAACACGCCTTGGAGTTGCTTCCCTAAGGGATCAACTTCTGTCGGTCGCCACTCAAGGCTCCTGATGGGAGCAGGCACACAGTCCCTGGCACTTCTGGCCCTGAGTGCCCAGGGGATGAGTGCATGACATCAATGGCATCTGCTGTCCTCTGTCTCCTGCTTTCCCCATGGGATGAACTAGCTTGAGAGGCACAAGATCCCTGAGCAGGCAGAGGGACTCTGTAGGGGTCTCAGAGCTCCTGAGGCTGCACCCTCCCTCTGGAGCCCTGCGAAATCTTCAACATCCGGTTTTATGAGCCTCACAAACCTTCCAGGGGCCCCTCCGGCTCTGGGCGGGCTGCGTTGGAGGCCTGGTGCCCACGTGTCTCCTGGGCCCTCCACCTGTGCCCCGCCTGTTTGCACAGCATGCGAGAGCTGAGCACCTGAGTTTGCTCTTTGACTCAAGTGTTTCACTCACTCACGGTAATAGTGGCTGATAATTCTTGAGCTAACACACCTTCTACTTTGCAGTCTAGCCTTGTTTGCCTTGCAGCCCTGCTTTATTATCTCCGAGATCGGATGAAGCTTAGGGGCACCAGCACTGCCTAGGGAAACCCTGGCCCCTCCTTGCCTGGGATCAGCTGGGTCCCCGGGGCTCAGGCTTTACGACCCCTGCTGCTTGGTTACCCACCTCCCCACTGGGGCCCTGACAGGTCGGGGGACAAGCAGATAGAGGGCTCCCCAGTGCAGTCCAGACAGTGTGTGCTGCTGGGCAGGCCAGAGCAGAGTGAGTCGGATTTGGCTTTTTATAATCATCCAGGTGCCAGGGTGGGCACGCGTCCTGGGTCATCCTTTCAGCAAGGGCTCACATCACAGCCTGTCACCAGCAGTAATTCAGCAGGAGTGTTTAGTTTCCTCCCTATGGGATCAGCGAGGGCAGCTGTCTAAGCCCCAGGCACACTGCCCAGGGCGGAGGTGGGGGTGGGGGCCGTCCTCCTAGGGCTGCCCTGCCTCTTGGCAGGTGATCAGCCTTGACCTCCTTGTGTGGTTTGGGGGGCTGCCTCCCATCTTTGTCAGAGTTTAACCGCTACGATAAACGAAACCAGGGTTTCTCAGAAACAGGCACTGCTGTCGGGGCAGCAAGATGACTTCACGTGGAAAACAGAATGGACTTAAATGAGATCAAGCCACCTCGTGGAGAAGCCATTTGCCTTCCAATTTGTTTTAATCCTGCTGATTATTGCAAAGAGAAAGACTTAGCCTGGTGCAAATGAGTCTTTAATGCCTCTGAGGACTTCCTAATTTTTCCTTTTTTCCTTTTTTTTTTTTTAATAAGAAAAGTTAAGCCTCAGGCTGTTCATCCTTCCAGTTGGAATTTAATAACCGTGTTTTGTTTTCATAGAATTTACTTTTGCAGTTGTTTATTCATGGCAGGGCCTCCTGGTTTTCCATTTAGGGGTGTGATAGGAAGTTTTCCTTTAAATTAATTTATTGTATATATCTTTTTACAGTGAGTCCTTAATATATTTTGTAGGTAATAATATGGGTGAGGTTGGACCTCTGACCCTGTACGGAAAAAGCGTGCTGATCTCTGTTATATAGGGTACGTGACTGGTAATAGGTATTTTATCAGTGACATTGATAGAGTAAAAATGTGGAAGGCAATATGCAAATAACTAAAGTACTGGAAAATACTTGGCAAATCCCAAGAAACTAAACAGAAATTCCACTGGAAGGGCCTTTGGTAACCATAGAAAATTCCCAGCCTTTC